ACCTTTTTTTTTTTTTTTTTGCGGGGTGACGATGACCCCCGACAGGCAGGTGCCGACCAGGTGACCAGTCGGCTGGTTGACAGCCGACAGTCAGGGACCGCCGACTGTCGGGGTGTGCAACACTGAGGCAGAGTACATATTCTGCTCACTACCACCTGCAACAACTCTGGCACTCCCACTACTCATCCCAAACCTCTCACTCGTGCCACCCTTATCTATATCACTCCATTGCAAGCCCACCCTTTCAGTTTGCTGTCTGGCCCCTGGAATGCGGAGACCCCCAACTTTACCTGAATGCTGATGGCTCCATCAACCCTGAACTGTTCGTGCGTGCAGGTCCAGCTTGTGAGGGTTTTGGGTTTAGCACTTGACCACACTATACCCTCAAGGCTTCAACAGTGTCCTCCCATAAGGACAATGGGCGTCTGTCAGAGGATCTCATCGCTCAAACAGGTGGATTTGTTCACGAGCTTGTCCAAATCCTCCCTCCACGACCAACCCCAGAGCACAAGTTCATAGTGACAGACCCTTCATGATTGACACTACCCCAGGTCCAAATCCTCCCGCCTCCAGCGCAAATTCATAGTGACAGACCCTTCATGATTGACACTACCCCAGGTCCTTTCTATGCTGTGCGCTCAACCCTGCATCATATGAGCCAATTCAGAATTGCAATTTATATCTCATACCGCTTCCAAACCATGCCCGCCTGGCGCTCATGCTTGCTGCAATGGCTGCAGATTAATGTCTCGAATGCTGAGCTCACAGGAAATATTTGATGATCGAAGTTCTTGATCTGTGATCTGCAATAGTCAAGCCAGCCATATTCCAGCTCTGCGCATGATAGGGCTCCGTTCTTAAATTTCATTAAGGTTGTGGACATGCATCATGTTGCTCACCACACAATTACAGAGCGTCCTTCGGCTAGCAGAGGTTGTTGAATTACATCCACACCCTCGTTTTGCCAAGGCTGCATCTATGATGAGATAGTATCATAGTACCATCCGTTCCTCTCCAGTTCTGTAACTTAACAGAAGTGGATCTCAACATGACAAGCAATATCCCTCCCCCAGACCCTGACAATTGCCTTTGTCAACGAGCATTTCCTTTCTGTACTGACATTGTTGATGGTCATGTGGCCACGGTAGACTATGCCACTGTGCAAGACACATTTGTGGGCTCTCTTCTTTGAAGGCTCCAAGTGAGAGATGGTTAACAGAGGCCTAAATATCCGACAATCTGTCATGCCATTTATAGCAAAATCTGAGGGCCATTTTGACCAAACTGGGCACCAATTCATAGAGTGGACAACATATTAAGTTATGGACTAACTGCAAAAAAAAAAAAACGGAAAAAAAAGAGAAACCTATGAACTTCAGGGAAAAAGCTGCAAAAGTGCACTTGCACCAAGTTGCATGCAAATTTCGCCAGCTTCCAATTTCGGAGATTTTTAGAAATTTCAGAAATGTCAGCAGAGGAGTTTCCAATGCTCCAATACACACCAAATTTTGGCACACAGCAACCTTGAAAGAAAACAAAACAGGCAAAAACCTAGGCCACCAGTCAGGCCGCCCGGGTGACCTTGTTGGCCCGGGCTGGCCGGCAGTGCTAGGGCCAAAGTAGGTCCCAGCAAAAAAAATAAATATCGAAAGACTCTGAAAAAGAACTATGTTATGCAGAAAAGTAAACTGAACAACTTTTGCCGCAGGGTCACATTGAAATTTGTTACCAAAAAAAAAAACAAGTTAAAAAATATATATTTTTAAAGTGGTCCCTGGTCACTCTGGTGGCCTAGGCAAAAAAAAAAAAA